TGTTCCATGTGGTTGTGTAAGTGTATAGTAAATGTTAGTCGTGTTCAGGAAGGTGAAGCCCTATGACAAGACTCTAAGGTTAGGCTCTAGGATGAGATTTTATCTCCTATCTTGAGATTTCGGGGCTTAGCGTACCCGTCCTTGATCAGGTCTCCTTATTTTTGCTACACACCCCCAAGAAACAGATTCAAGATTGAGGTGGAACTACGGACCCTCCCCAGGGCGCAACCTCACAATAGCTGCTTACTCCTGGGTACCTATTTACTGTTAGAACAGCAACATTAGGTGAAAGGAAACGTACCCAACTATTTCTGTCCCATTAGGGAATTAAAACCTGGATCCCCGATTGTGAATCGAGAACAAAGCCAATGAAATGTATTTCTGAAATAGGCTTCTAATTTGTGTAACATAGAATCTACAGTATTTCACGTGACAGGTTCCTATACATGTATGGATTCACGATAGTGGCTAGAGGATGGATACCTCGGGGGAGTAAACTTGTGGCTGCCAATCAACATTCAGCACCTGAACTTCGTCTGTCGCATTTTCTGCCAGGCGCAGTACTTAACCAGTAGTGGAACTATCAGCATGGAACACTGCAGGTTAAACATACGACGTGACCCACAAACTCCTCCTGAAGTTGCCCGGGACATAATTGCCGACCTCTCAAACTCGTATAAACTTTGGTGAGGTGGAGGAAGGCGAGCAAGGGTGCAGCCTAACTCCGATATCAACATCTTCCTCATTTGCATATCTAACCAAACTTTTGGTAAATCACTGAGAAAATTTCCGAAAAGAAAGGAAAACTGGAGAATAAGTAAATCCAATAAAACTTGAACTCCGGGACTGTTAGAATCGACACTGAGGATATATGACCTTATTAATTTGATGAAAAGAGGCTATGTGATGAAACTTTTTTTTATCTCTTATGAACGAGTAGAAAATAATAAATACTTAGCCTTGGGGGGATTTAGGTTGCAGCTCTATCCTTGGAGGATCACACCTTGAGATGGAAGCCTTGTTTTGGTGTTCGAACCACGAGATGGTGGCCTTGTTTTGGTGTTTGAACCACGAGATGGTGGCCTTGTTTTGGTGTTCGAACCACGAGATGGTGGCCTTGTTTTGGTGTTCGAACCACGAGATGGTGGCCTTGTTTTGGTGTTCGAACCACGAGATGGTGGCCTTGTTTTGGTGTTCGAACCACGAGATGGTGGCCTTGTTTTGGTGTTTGAACCACGAGAAGGTGGCCTTGTTTTGGTGTTCGAACCACGAGAAGGTGGCCTTGTTTTGGTGTTCGAACCACGAGAAGGTGGCCTTGTTTTGGTGTTCGAACCACGAGAAGGTGGCCTTGTTTTGGTGTTCGAACCACGAGAAGGTGGCCTTGTTGTAGTGTTCAAGCCATGAGAATCAGGCTGAAAGTCTTATAATGTTTAAGAAGTAAATCAGATCATGAGATTCAGATCTTTCTTTAGACTCTAGCCACGACTAACGCGCCTTATTCCCAATGTCTGGCAAAGGCAACTAAATATGATAACACTGAGGAATCGGAAATATTCATCGCGGTGCCAAACTTCCTGGTAGATGAGATCCCGTTCACTTGACCGCACCGCACTGAGTTGGGCAGCGAGTGAACGCCAGGTGATACACAGATCGTGGGATAAACTTCATCTAAACTTCAAGAGTGACTCACTTGTTGCGATTCAACATGAGGAACTTGATGCTGTCCCCGTAACCCTCGAAGGCGTCCTCAGGTACTTCCACTATCCTGTTGGAGTCGAGGTCGAGCTGGCGGAGGTTTTTTAGGGTCCGGAGGGCGTGGGACGGGATGTGGTCGAGGCGGTTGTGACCCAGCTCCAGCCACTCCAGGTTATCTGCCTCCGGAAGGAAGGGAAGAAGGGATAGAGGGCAAGTAGTGAAGGGGGCACATCGCTAACAATATAAGCATGCAAACTTGTATACCACCAACAATCTTAGCCAGGTATAACAAGGTTTGGCCCTGATATAAGCAGTATACCCGCGTGACTGACAAGTTCACCGCCGCCAACTGCGTGATTGTGAGGTGCATCCCAGCACAAAGTGGATGTAACTATCTTACCACAATTATAAATTGGTTAGCAAAAAATGTTATTTTTGGTTATAGGTTATTTTGGGTTAGCGAAAAATAGGTTATTTTTGGGCCATGGTCCCAAAAATGGGATCATGGCCGTTAATGGAGTCACATTGCGGTCCTGTTCCTGATTCCTTTATGTGATTCTGTAATCTTTCTGCCACACCCACAGGATGAGAACGGGCTCCTTAAAAACTACTTAAACTACTTAAGCTCGTACCTAAGATAAGGAAATAATCAGGAGGGGATATGAGGATGAAGATTTAGGAAAGGACGGAGGAAGGGAATGGTGCCCAACCACTTGGACGATTTTGGGGATTGAACGCCGACCTGCATAAAGCGAGACCGTCGCTCTACCGTCCACCCCAAGACGTTGGACAAGTGGTTGGGTAATGTTTACGAACCTTCGAGTCCGGTAAACGCTTGCTGGCTGATGTTGGCGATGTGGTTGTGCTTAATGTTGAGCGAGTTGAGGTTCGAGAGTTCGCTGAACACGTTCGCTTCCAACGTCCTTATCTTGTTATTTTCCAACATCAGCATGTCTAGCTTCTTGAGCCCTGGAAGAGAGAGATAGTCCACTACAGACTCCTTTTCTGGTGTGTTGACATTGGAAACTCATACTCTTCCTCTCTCAAACACACGAGTGAACATATGCAGACGCTATCAGATAACATCTTCCTAAGTCAAATAACGTCAGTCATAAGAACTGGTTTAATAGTAAACTGCCATCCATGCCATGGGAAATAGTATGTTGGTAATCAGGTACAACCTGCCCGACACAACACTGGAACATTATCTAACACAGTGCACAGTTACATAACAACCACTGGAACATTATCTACAGTGCACATTTACAACCCATTAGATTTCAACTTAAAAGAGCAGTTGTTGTTAAACACACATGGCAAAATCTTACTGAAGCGACCATACGAGTCATAAATACTCATCCTCCGCCCAAGTAAAACAGAAACAAGCAACACTTAGTGAGCCAGCCAGAGGCTTAGGGCCTGCGCAGGAATATCCCTGCAAAAAAAAAAAATACAACCTGATTGAACCCAAAACCTGGAATTCGACTCCCTACAAAATCAGTCTGTCTGTCTGTCTGTCTGTCTGTCTGTCTGTCTGTCTGTCTGTCTGTCTGTCTGTCTCTCTCTCTCTCTCTCTCTCTCTCTCTCTCTCTCTCTCTCTCTCTCTCTCTCTCTCTCTCTCTCTCTCTCTCTCTCTCTCTCTCTCTCTCTCTCTCTCTCTCTCTCTCTCTCTCTCTCTCTCTCTCTCTCTCTCTCTCTCCTCTCTCTCTCTCTCTCTGTCTCTCTCTCTCTCTCTCTCTCCCTCCCTCTCTCTCTCTCTCTATCTCGTCTCTCTCTCTCTCTCTCTCTCTCCCCTCTCTCTCTCTCTCTCTCTGTCTCTCTCTCTCTCTCTCTCTCCTCTCTCTCTCTCTCTCTCTCTCTCTCTCTCTCTCTCTCTCTCTCTCTCTCTCTCTCTCTCTCTCTCTCTCTCTCCCTCTCTCTCTCTCTCTCTCTCTCTGTCTCTCTCTCTCTCCCCTCCTCTCTCTCTCTCTCTCTCTCTCTCTCTCTCTCTCTCTCTCTCTCTCTCTCCCCCTCTCTCTCTCTCTCTGTCTCTCTCTCTCTCTCTCTCCCTCCCTCTCTCTCTCTCCCCTCTCCTCTCTCTCTCTCTCTGTCTCTCTCTCTCTCTCTCTCCTCCTCCTCTCTCTCTCTCTCTCTCTCTCTGTCTCTCTCACCCTTGAAGCTGCCCATCCGGAGACTGGATATGTGGTTGTCGCTGATGGTGAGAACCTGGAGGTTGGTCAGGGCCTGCAGGTTGGGCACGTCCTCCAGGTGGTTCTTGCCCAGGTTGAGTCGGAACAGCTTGCTGAGGGAGATAATTGAATGAGGTGCAGCGTTGGGGGGAGAGGGGGGGGGGGATGGTTGGGGAATAACCGGTTGAAAAAGACCCAAAGTCTGTAGGGTACTCGTGCTACGTCTGTCTATTATTTAATCAAACCTAACCTAACTTAGAGTGGAGGTGTGTGAGATGGAGTTCTGTGAAGTAGTATTCAATATAGCTTCCTTAATAAATATATTTAGCCTCTCCAAGTCTGAAACCACACCACTTGGGGTGGACGGTAGAACGGTCTCGCTTCATGCAGGTCGGCGTTCAATCCCCGACCGTCCAAGTGGTTGGGCACCATTCCTTTCATCTCCTCCCATCCCAAATCCTGATCCCTTCCAAGTGCTATATAGTCGTAATGGTTTGGCGCTTTCTCCTGATAATTGCGAATTCTCGACTCGCAATCGGGAATCCCAGGTTCGATTCCCAGGCGGTATAAAAATGGGTGGGCATGTTTTCTTTCACCTGATGACTGCACACTTAACAATAAATAGGTACCGTGGAGTTAGGCAACTGTTGTAGGGTGCATATATGCACCTTCCTACTTATGCTAGGTGAACAGATGCATTAGGTGAAAGGAAATGTGGCCAATCATTTCTGTCCCGGCCGGAATTCGAACCCAAAATTCTCTATTGTATGTCGAGAACAAACCCGAGTGTGCTACCGGGACCCTTTGTCCAATACGTACGATTTCAGATTCAGATTCAGATGTTTATTCAGGTAAGGTATATACATACAAGATTGTTCACAAGATTGTTCACATCGTCACAAAAACTTACGATGTAAACAGGAAGAATGGTTGATATGTGGGCGTGTGTTGGGAGGGGAGTCGGTGGGGTGTGTTGGGGATTCTTGTTTGGATGTGGGGGTGTGCCGGCAGGGGTGTGGTGGTGCCGGTGGGGAACATGTGGGGAAAATATTAGTCTCCCCTTAAAGATAGAGAAAACGCTCATTTCTTATTTAAAGGATGAGAAGATTTTCTTCGGCAGAAACTAATCTAGTTCCTCCCGGAACGAAAAAAATTAAAAAATTCGCAATTTACGTTACGGCTTAATTATCAATTTTGCCGGAGACAGGCAGCATGTTTATAAATATATATTTATATACGTTAGGTGGAACTACTGACCCTCCCCAGGATGTAAATCCACCACGGTTACCTAACTCCCGGGTGCATATTTACTTACTGCTAGGTGAACAGAGGCATCAGGTGATAGTCCAAAGCGGTGCCACAAAACAAGTTCCAGCATCTGCATCCTTGGATGTGTATTTATTATTTGCATTTACTGTCTGTGCCCGCAGGACTGAGCCGCCTTTGTAACCGTCGCTGGTCTAATATATTCAGGCATATTTTTTCTCAATCATATCTACATATAGGCTGTGTAACAGCCCGTGGCAGCTGTCTAACAACCAGTTACCTATTTACTACTAGGTGAACAGGTACATCAGGTGAAAGTATCTAAGCCCATTTGCTTTTATCTCGACCTAGAATCGAACCTGAGACATTGGCCGACGAACCGAGAGCTGTTATCTTGAGGTCATCTTGTTATGATTTCGGGGTTTAGCGTCCCCGCGGCCCGGTCTTTTTGTTACACCCCCTGAGAGCAGCTGTCTAACTCCCAGGTGCCTATTTACTGCTAGGTGACAGAGGTATCAGAAAGAAACTCTGCCCCATTTGTTTCCGGGGATCGATCCCCGGCCCCTTGGATTACTAATACCCAGCGCTGTCGTCTCAGCCGTCTAGGCCCCTACGGCTGATATGATGGAGGCAGACTCCATACACAGTTTTAAGTGTAGATATGACAGAGCCCAACAGCCTCAGGACCCTGTACAGCTGTTGATTGACGGTTGAGAGGCGGGACCAAAGAGCCGAAGCTCAGCCCCCTCAAGCACAACTAGGTGAGTACTATCCACGGTCCCTGATAGAGGTGTTGAGACCGAAAATACTGGATATAAAACATGTGAATGTTTCCACAACATGCAAAATAAACAGGAAAAAACATAAAAAACACGACAGACAAAATATCACCTTACAAACACAGATTGGAAATGTGTATATTGAGGGGAGGAGAGAGAGAGAGAGAGAGAGAGAGAGAGAGAGAGAGAGAGAGAGAGAGAGAGAGAGAGAGAGAGAGAGAGAGAGAGAGAGAGAGAGAGAGAGAGAGAGAGAGAGAGAGAGAGAGAGAGAGAGAGAGAGAGAGAGAGAGAGAGAGAGAGAGAGAGAGACGAGAGAAGGGGAAAATTAAATGTAGAGAAAGGTAAGAAAGAGATGAACTAAGGGATGAAGGTATGAGGGAAGGAAGGGGAAGGTTGGAGGGGGAGAGAAGTAAGGAAGAGGGGTGGAGGGAAGTTGAGAGGGGAGAGAGAAGAGGGGTAGGGGGTAGACGGGAGAGGGGCAGTAACAAGGCCAGGAAGTAACCAAGTGAAATAGTTGGCCGGGCACACTAACACCCTCTCTCTGCCCCCCACCCCTCCCATCCACCCCCCCCCAACCTCTACTACCATAACACCTTAACCCCCCCCACCCCCCCCTCCAACACCACACCATCACCACAACACTCGCCATTCCCTCACCACCTACACCATTACCAGTATTTCACCTCACCATCATCTATACCATTAATAACCCCCCACCCACCCACTTACAAAACCACCACCGATACCACTACAACCATCCCCACCCCTACACCATCACCAGTACCACAACTCCCTCTCTTCCACACCTCCAGTACCACCACCATTACCACTTATCAGTCAAGTTACTACCTGAAAAGCCTGGTCCTTGCTAAGTGATGTTACTGTTTAAAGAGTTGATTATTATAATAAATCCCCCTCCCCGTCCTTCCTGCAAAATTCATTAGAATTACACAAATCTCAGGCAATTATCAGGAGAAAATCGCTAAGCCAATATGATTAATTATATATTATGAATACGAGGCGTCCTACCACTTAGACCATCGGGAATCGAACGCCGACCTTGCAAGGAGCGAGACCTTGGCTCTACCGACCAGTCCAAGTGGAGTACCTAAGACGCCGAGGACTTACTCGCCGGTGCCGGAGAAGGCGTTCTCCTCGACGTGTTGCATCTGGTTGTCGTAGAGGGAGAGGCGCTCGAGGGCCCGCAGCCCGGAGAACGCCGCCTGGCCCAGGATCTTGATCATGTTATAGTTGAGGTTGAGGAAGGACAGGTTCTGAAGGTGCTCCAGCGCCACCGTCGGCACCTGCCTCGTCACGGAGAAGGGAAGAGGAAGACACACATCTGGTTCAATTGCTTATAAAAGAAAATGTTGGCAAAATGTCCGAAAGACTGCGCATGATTATTGCCTTTATAAACAAAAAGAAATGCCTAGTAAGAAATTACTATATTCAGATCATATGGAAATTGTTTAAATCAAACTATTATTATTGTTATAGACCTACAGTGTACACAGTTACACTTTGTAGGCCTATAATGGTTAGCAGTCTTGTGGCAGTGTGGGCACTGCAAGCTTGCGTTGCCTGCAAGTCTTACTTGCTTATGTAATGCAATGAGCCATATTGCCTGACAAATCAATACTGTACCCACTACTCCATAACTGGCTTAAGCTGTAGAACACTAGTGTTCAGCTCCTGAACACATTGCGTGAGTGTAACAGTCTTGTTATTTAACCTAAACCGGTGAACCACACACACTTGCTGTATATAGCAGGCTGTAACTAGTTCATCAGTATTATAGTTGGTAATACTGATGAACTATAAATGCTTAACTAATTTGCTTAGTTTTAAAGAATATTTGAGCGGGGGGGGGGGGTCCTGTGACTATTATATGCCTCTGTAATTGCCGGTTCTGCTATGAGAGGATCAATATATTTTTTAATAGGTTGTTCTAAATTAATGTTTTGCCATAAACTGTTTGAAAAAGATTTGCAAGTAGGTTTATTAAGGATTGATTGAACAGACGGCTGAGAGGTGGAAAATAAAATTCCGTTTGAGAAGAATGTGACAGACATTAAAAAAGTTATTGAAAGAAATTAACAGACAAAAAATTAAGGCAAATGAAAGCAAATGAAGAAAAAGGGCCGACTCCAGCAACTGAACTCTGTAAACAGTTAACACCGTCGTCACTGAGTCTAATGAAGGACATTTACGAAAGAGGAAGGGAACTATGAGGAAAAAGCGCCAAGCTATTATGACTATAGCGCTGGGAAAGGATCAGGATAAAAATTTGGGATGGGACTGGGGGGGGGGGAAGGAATAGTGCCCAACCACTTGGACGGTACCATAGAACGCCGACCTGCATGACGCGAAACCGTCGCTCTACCGTCCAGTCCAAGTGGTTTGGGCTTAAGAGAGAGGAAGGAATATACCGTATACCGTGCTATACCGCAAGCAAGTTGTTGTAGGAGAGGTCGAGCGTCTCGAGCGTGTGGGCCAGGGACCTGAGGGAGGACTCCCCAACGACGGAGATGTTGGTCCTGCTCATGGTGAGGTGCTGCACGTCCAGCCCCAGGAAGGTGTAGTCGTGCACCCACGGGAAGTTGGAGCTGCGGAACATGAGGCGGTAGATCACCGTCGAGTTCTTCTTCAGCACGTTCAGGCTGTTGCGGATCTGCGCCTCGTCCGCGTTCTCGCACGCTATGCTTGGACCTGTGAGGGGCAAGACCACGTGTTGGGCGAGTTTGGGAGAGTTTGTGGTATCTAATTTGTGGTGTGTCTGTCTCTCTCTCTCTCTGTCTCTCTCTCTCTCTCTCTCTGTCTCTGTCTCTGTCTCTCTCTCTCTCTCTCTCTCTCTCTCTCTCTCTCTCTCTCTCTCTCTCTCTCTCTCTCTCTCTCTCTCTCTCTCTCTCTCTCTCTCTCTCTCTCTCTCTGTCTCTCTCTCTCTCTCCCTCCCCAATGATCTAGTTATCTAGATGTTTCCACCCCTGTGTTAGCGAGTCAGCACCCAACTGCCCCTCGTGTTACTCGCCTCGTTACGAGGACATCTGTCAATAGTCACCTTTGCCGACCGGAGGGTTGGGGCACATCCCGAAATATAAGTGTCATTCTGTTCATCTGTTCTTCCAATACATAAATTCACCAAAATTTGCACGGTGAATATATATTTTATATTATTATATATATATATATATATATATATATATATATATATATATATATATATATATATTTATATATATATATATATATATATATATATATATATATATATATATATATATATATATATATATATATTAGTATATTTTGGTAGCAGTCTTTCCTGTAGACATATATTATTAAATATGACCGAAAAAGTAAGATTAATAATTCTAACACGAATTTTCTCAATCTTTCGTACATTACGCTTCACTGTTGGAGGTAAATCAAAAATCACTTCTCCAAAATTCATTTTTATTTCTAGTCTGACGCAACACGGGCGCGTTTCGTAAAACTTATTACATTTTCAAAGACTTCACAAATACACAACTGATTAGAACTTACGTATCTCTGATTTTATATCTACATTTGAGTGAGGTGGGAGGGGTGATGTGGCATTAACACAAGACAGAACAAGAGGGGATATTAATAGGGTATTAAAAGTATCAACACAAGACAGAACAGAAACAATGGGTATTGAATAGAAGTGTTTGTAGAAAGCCTATTGGTCCATATTTCTTGATGCTTCTATATTGGAGCGGAGTCTTGAGGTGGGTAGAATATAGTTGTGCAATATTAATAGGCAATGTGCCTATTAATATCCCTCTTGTTCTGTCTTGTGTTAATGCCACATCACCCCTCCCACCTCACTCAAATGTAGATATAAAATCAGAGATACGTAAGTTCTAATCAGTTGTGTATTTGTGAAGTCTTTGAAAATGTAATAAGTTTTACGAAACGCGCCCGTGTCGCGTCAGACTAGAAATAAAAATGAATTTTGGAGAAGTGATTTTTGATTTACCTCCAACAGTGAAGCGTAATGTACGAAAGATTGAGAAAATTCGTGTTAGAATTATTAATCTTACTTTTCGGTCATATTTAATAATATATATATATATATATATATATATATATATATATATATGCAATTAACGATCACAAAACACTGATCATTTTATGCGGAAAATCCACAGAGAAATATGAAATGAGGTGAACGTTTCGGCTTGTTAAAGCCTTTGTCAACACCAGTCTGGTGTTGACAAAGGCTTTAACAAGCCGAAACGTTCACCTTATTTCATATTTCTCTGTGGATTTTCCGCATATATTTATATATATATATATATATATATATATATATATATATATATATATATATATATATATATATATATATATATATATATATATATATATATATATATATATATATATATGGGGGGGTACCACCACTGGTGCAATTATAGGGACCCACAGCCTCAGAGAAGGGAACACACACAGAGCATTCAGGGAAAAACTTGCCATTTAACTCTGAATACGAAAGAGTGTTCGCTTCTCCTACCACCCCCGCTTTCTACCACCTACCGCTTCTCCTACCACTATATATATATATATATATATATATATATATATATATATATATATATATATATATATATATATATATATATATATATATATATATATGCATAAACGCGCGAGACAAATCACTAAGAAGTTTTATCTGACCCAACTAGGATTCGAACACCTGCCGCCCAGGATCACCCTTTGGCGTACAGAGTACCGTCACCACTACACCAATGATCGTCTATCACAGCCAATGATCGTAGATATCTAAGCCAAATGGGCTTCACCAGGCCTGTAATAAAATCAGGAGTTGTGATTCCCGTAGAGTTGTGGTGCTTTCTCTTACTGCTCTTACTGTAAAAAGGTCTCATAAGAGTGAAATTACAGACTCCCAACGACCTGAAAGCACCAGCATATAAAGTTATGACTTGATCAGATCTGAAACTTATGTTTATGGGCAGCACAAAACGTTGACCAGACTGTGCGACACAGTGGTTGCCAGGATCAGGTTGGGTTACTGTTACCTGTGGCAGGTGGCTACCGTTACCTGTGGCAGGTGGCTACCGTTACCTGTGGCAGGTGGCTACCGTTACCTGTGGCAGGTGGCTACCGTTACCTGTGGCAGGTGGCTGCAGGTGACGGATCTCCCAATCCTGAGCACTCCAGGTGCAAACTCTGTGAGCAGGAACTACGGCATGATCTCCCGCACTACATCACTGAATGTCCAGTTATCAGACCATTCAGACCCGTTGGCATGAGGTACCTGGAACTTTGCAATTACTTTATTACCTCTTGTGTTCTTGAAGATATCCTCATACTGCACCCAGAGTCTGCCAGTGGAGACTACTTAACATATGACCCTGTATGACTAACCATCCTGCGTGATGGAGTTTTAGCATCACGTAGCTAGTTGTTTGACACGCTGTACTCCCCTTCATATAGTCTAGGGCAGCTGTACAAATGCATATGTACCTAAATGTGTTAATAAAACAAAATTACTCGCGCACTTTCATCGTTCATTCGAAAACGATTAATGTGAATTTGAGAGAGACGTACCTCTGGACTTGTCCTTGCAGGTACAGGGGGCGATCATCTCAGCTGGGAGGCAGGTGACTCCTGCGGCCGTCTTCGCCTCCCCCAGGAGCACCGTCAAGGCCGCCATCACTACCACCGCTCGCATCACACCTTCGCTCATTATCTTCTGTCCTCCTTGACGATTCTTCCTCTGGTCAGTCTTCTCAGCCTTTCTCTCCCTCCCTCGTTTCCTTCAGGCTTGTCCCACGCTCCTCGTCGTCTTCGTCGCCTCCTTCAATGCTTCCGCTACAACGGCTGCTTCTCGCGCCTGTGTTTCCAAACTCCCCGCCTTTCCAAACCTCACTATTCCTTCCTCCTTCGATTCTTCCTATCCAAGCCTCCTCTGCCGTTTTCCTTGGACACCTGTACACAAGTCGCTCTTGCCTGTTCTTGTGGTGACGTCTAGTAAGGTCCCTCTTGTGTGTCCTCTTACTCAAACACCTATGCTAGGTGTCGAGGTTCAAGAGCAGGAAGTAGAGCCCTGTTTGCGCATAACATAAAGCACTTTAATTCTAGAACAGATCCTAGAGTCCTCTGTACCGTAACAAAGGAGTGTCGAGGTTCTACAGATGATAGAGTCCTCTTTATTTTGCTCTAGCACAGAAGTGTTGTGAATTTTAAAACAGATCGTTGAATTGCTCTTGAGACTGAAGAGAAATAATAGAGCAAGTAGTGCACCTGCTCGTTCTAGAGCAGGTACAAGAGTCTTCGTTCTAGAGCAGGTACAAGAGTCTTCGTGCTAGAGCAGGTACAAGAGTCTTCGTGCTAGAGCAGGTACAAGAGTCTTCGTGCTAGAGCAGGTACAAGAGTCTTCGTGCTAGAGCAGATACAAGAGTCTTCGTGCTAGAGCAGGTACAAGAGTCTTCGTGCTAGAGCAGGTACAAGAGTCTTCGTGCTAGAGCAGATACAAGAGTCTTCGTGCTAGAGTAGATACAAGTCCTTGCTCTATTGCAGCGAATGAAGCCGATATCCATGAAACAACGAGGAATTTCTCGCATAAAGAGCACGTGCAAGACTTCTGGTTAGAGGGTCAGAGGAGTGTGGAGGTCGTGAAGCAGGTCATAGCGTTCTCAGAGGCCCATCACAGCACCTTGGGGACAACACAGGCACCACTCTTCTGCAACAAAAAGATCAACCTAGAAAGATATTAAGACCGGAGTATAAGATTGGGTTACAATAGGCAAATCTTTGTGAGGGGCCCCTTCCCCCGCTCTATCTCTCTAAGGTCATTATATTCAGTCAACAAGAATCGTCCGTCATTTCATGATGTCGGGGATTGGGTTAAGGGTCTGACGACTTCCAATCCTTCCGAACAGTCAGTGTGGTCTAGCGGGTTAAGTAATACTAAGGTGCATGGAGCCCCTGGCTGCCTGGGTTCGAATCCTTCAGGAGTGAGAAGTTTTCGGTTGCATATTGGCTTGGGGACCATTCAAGCTCGTTCGCATACATACATATATATATACATACACACATATATATACACACACACACACACATATACGTGCTAATTCATGGTGTGAGAGGTGCAGCTGTTACTGGCCGCTTACTCACTTGTTCAAATTGGACTGAACTGGACTCATTGTGGTTGTAAATTATCCCGGCTGCCATCTATCAAACTGTTCCCATATACTCGAATATGCTTTAAAGTGTACATAAAAAGTACATATATATATATTGGGTCTGATGAACGTAAGGTTGCAATATTGTATGTATATGGACATGAATATTATGTAAATATCCTGGAGATGCTATTTAAAAGGATGCCTTTTACCTTGAATTTGATCCAGACAACTAGAAAATACGCACTTATTAGATTAAATCCGGTTTTCACGGTGGAGTTCCTGGTTGTATTCTCAAACAATCCGGGAAACCGGATTTGATCGCATCAGTTAAGCATAGATTTATATTAAAAAAAAACTACTGTTTTCAAGTGAACAAAAGCACTGGATGTGAGTTTCCACGTAAGACTGTGATGTAAGGCGCAGGAAGGAAGATGTACCTGTGGTGGAACACATGTACCACCACTACAGACACCTGTGGTGTACCTGTGGTGGAACACGGCACGTCCACCGGGAAGAGGGGTGAGGCGCGACACGTACGTTACTCACCTCTACCAACACTCCACAACACTGACAATTTAACAAACAAAGTTGCGCCAGACGACGACGCTAAGAGTCATGAAGCTCACAATGACAGGCGCACTGGGTGTGGGTTACTCAATTATGGTCTCATGTATGTCCTTGTTTGGGGCGGTCCTCTTCCAAGCACACACCACGTTAACACAAATCACTCACAAACACAACACAAACATTTGACGAACTGGCTGCGTGGGAGAGTGACCCCCTGAGGAGGCGAGAGCGAGGACTCACAGCGCAGTAATAGAGGCAGTGTGTGTGAGGGGTGGCGGGGCCGCCCAGGCCTGGAGACTCGTCCTGCGAGCTGGTCACTCTATGGGAAGGGCAGAGGAAGCCAAGTCTTAATAAATTGAACCGTTTATGTCGACGTTTTGTGTGGCGGGGCGGTGAGGGCGGGGTTTGTGGTGGGTGGTAGTGGGTGCGGCGTGGGCGGCGGGGTGTGCAGAGCTGTAGGGAGGCCGGGAGGTGTTTGAGACTGGTGTAATAAGCGGTTCATGATGTAAACGGATGGAGGTTATTAAACGGTATGCCCCTTACGCTCCAGTGAATCACACGGCTTGTTTTGTTCCACAAAGCTTCGGCCGTGACCAAGCTGGAGGGTTTGCGCTTAGCACTGGACGTGAGCTAGCAGGAGGGTCAGGTGTACATGCCCGTGCCCACACGCCTAATCCGGAATGGGACGAGATCGGGATTGGGCATGTGGCGAGGGTGGGAGCCGCCCTGATGACCACCACCAACCAAAAAAAAAAAATCTCCCGGGGTCCGCCCAGCGGAGAGAGAAGACCAATCATCATGTGCTTCGTTAAAGCCACCTCCACCAAGCCCAGCGCCCGCCCCTCTCACTCTTTTAAATCTATTTTACACCCCCGCTGGTCTTTGATAGTTAACAAGAGCGCCCCGCCAACCCCCCTGGCAGGTCTGCCTCACCATCCAGGTGGTGACTATCGTTAGGGCAGGACCAGCTCCCTAACGCCGGGGGGGGGGGGTCCTCACTCCCTCACTGGTATTAATTTTTGGGGATAGATTATAGTCCTGAACAGTGGATAAAATGGTGATACACCTGTGTGTATACTGGCCTTCCTCTCTCTGTGAGGCGCTCATAACGTCGGTCACTGCATTTACTATCAAATCAAATGTTTATTTAGGTAAGGTACAAACATACAAGAGATTTTACAAAGAGTGATGGATTTATAGATAGGGCTAGTACATACAATGCCTAAAACCACTATTACGCAAAGCGTTTCGGGCATGAAAAACTTAAATGACTAAATCTTAATACTAATTGAGCATAAAGAATAAAATGAGTTGAGAACAAATAAAAAAAGAGATAAAAAAGGGGGGAACATGGCTGAAAAAGCAGCACAAATACAATTCTGTCGACAAACAGCGCCATTTAAAAAAAAAACAGACATTGGTTGACAATAGAGGGGTTACCTTGAGGTGCTTCCGGGGCTTAGTGTCCCCGCGGCCCGGTCGTCGACCAGGCCTCCTGGTTGCTGGACTGATCAACCAGGCTGTTAGACGCGGCTGCTCGCAGCCTGACGTATGAGTCACAGCCTGGTTGATCAGGTATCCTTTGGAGGTGCTTATCCAGTTCTCTCTTGGGGTAAGGTAGGTTACAGGGAATTTATTAGGTATAGCTTCGTTTTTATCTTAAACTGGTTGAGAGGGGTACAGTCTTTAACATGGTTGGGAAGGTCATTCCACATTCTGGGTCCCTTGAATTGTAGAGCATTTCTAGTTTGATTAAGTCGTACTCTAGGAATATCGAAACTATTTATTTCTGGTGTGGTGCTCATGGGTTCTGTTACAACCTTCTATGAAGCTTTTGAGGTTAGGATTGGCATTACAGTTTTTTTTTGTTTGAGATATATACAAGAGTTGTTACATTCTTGTACAGCCACTAGTACGCGTAGCGTTTCGGGCAGGTCCCTGGAATACGATCCCCTGCCGCGAAGAATCGTTTTTTTTCATCCAAGTACACATTTTACTGTTGCGTTAAACAGAGGCTACAGTTAAGGAATTGCGCCCAGTAAATCCTCCCCGGCCAGGATACGAACCCATGACACAGCGCTCGCGGAACGCCAGGCGAGTGTCTTACCACTACACCACGGAGACTGTTCAGCGTTTTATATATGTATAATACACATGAGAGAATGTGCAGTGACTTAATATCTAACATATTCAGAGATTTCAGTAGGGGTACCGAGGGATGTCTGGGGCCAGAGTTGGATATTGTCCTAATAGCAGCTTTGTGTTGAGTAATTAGAGGACGTTTTATTTGGACTGGACTTTATTTGGACACAGGACTATATTTGTATCTGCAGGATCGAGGTATTAGCTCTTGGACCCCGACTTTCTAACCAATCTATATTTCCTCTATTATATTAATATATCTACTACATATATCTCTAACACACGCACACACCCCCCAGGAAGCAGCCCGTAGCAGATGTCTAACTCCCAGGTACCTATTTACTGCTGGGTAACAGGGGGCATCAGGATGAAAGAAACTCTGCCCATTTGTTTCCGCCTCTGCCGGGGATCGAACCCAGACCCTTCGGACAACGAATCCCGAGCGGTGTCCACTCAGCCATCGAGGTCCCAACAGCTCCCTAACTGTGGGACTCATAACGTGGGTGACCGCGGGACCGGTACGATATAAGCTCTCTAATGATCCTACCTACCGTGAACCAGATGGGGTTCGAACCCCCTGGTGGGAGCCCTCGCATGTCTCTCGCTCCCCCCCCCCCCCCCGATGGATAGGTGGGAAGTGAGTACCAGTGAGTACCCGCATGCCGGTGTTCAGGGCATGCGGGTATTCAATGTTATCACTAGCGTAACTAGGGGGAGATCAGAGCCGGGATGCGTCAAACTGGTCAAGTGCCCACTTGCGAAACCTGTACATCTTTCCTCAATCATGGTGGCTTAGTCGGTGTTCATTAAACAGTCTATCAGTCTCGAAACGCAGTGAGGTCGTGGTCGTATGATGATGGGTATTCTTTTAGGAAACCTCGTAGCTCGTCGGAGGTCGTAAACTATTTCATTAATATAAACTGAGCCGCCTTAATTTTTCTAACGCCCAGGATTCGTATCCTGGCCGGGGAGGATCTACTGGGCGCAAATCCTTAACTGTAGCCTCTGTTTAAGGTTAGGAGAGGAAACTTTCAATTAACGGTTTTCAAAACGTTTTGAAACCTTAGGAGAACTTCCTGCCCTCTTAACCTACCACAGGACCCTTAACTCGCTGTTTTGGAAAAATCGGAAAAAAAATCCAAAATTTAATTGGAAATTAAATTTCCATTTTAAATTACGTCGAAATTTGGCCATAGCGCATATGAGCGAAACGCGACGTAATTTGTACAGAGGTGTAGTGATGAACACTCGAATGAGAGAGAGAGAGAAGATTAAGCCACCCAAAAGGTGGCTTGGGCATGAATAGCCCGTAAGTGGTGGCCCTTTTGAGCCATTACCAGTATCAAGAGCTGATACTGGAGATCTGTGGAGGTGCGACTGCACCCTGCGTGACGGGAGATGTCTCCCGTGAACACTCGAATGAATCGTCTCCCTATTTACCGGTGTACCGGAACCCCTTCCTGGTTGATGCTACTGCACCAGACCTATATCTTGGCGTACCGGGAGCACCCCTATATTTACTGGTATACCGGGACGATACATTCGTACAGATCAACCAGGAGTTCCAAGCCTACTGGTATACCGGGGCTTCCTTGATATTAATTACTTCACCGGGATCGCCACGCTGTGCCCAGATGCTTGGGACTACTGTACCGGTATTTGCAAGTGTACCGGTACCACCGCGGAATTTATCGGCGTACCAGCC